CTGCAGCGGTCAACATGGAGCAAGGCACATGGTCCTGATGGGCAGACAGTTGAGCATAGTGGGTGTGAACACGCCCCGCACACAGTAGGGCTTCCACATGTGTTAGCTTCCTTCCTTCTCTGGTGCCTTCCACTGCTGGCAGCTTCATTGACAAACAGAACAGGCGTGAATGAAACCGTGACACTTGGTGGGCTACAGTTCAGTTCTAATAACAAGCTACCTGTGTGATGAGAGGTCAGGGGAATCAGTTAGAAGCCAGAGCGATCCCAGAAGGCTTGTAGAGGAGGTGTGGCTTGACTGGTGGTTGGCTTTGGGTAGGGGCAGGCAGCAGGTTCCACACGGGGAGAATGGCAGGGATGAAGGAGACGGGCGTGAGTGTGGTCCGTGGCTGACGCAGAGCATTTCAGCTGGGAAGTGTTCAGGGACAAGCTTGGCCGGGGGGTTGGCGTGACCAGGTTTCAATAAGCTCGAATCATTCTTGGGGAAGTTCCAAACCAAACAAAGTATAATCTACCCTCCATTTACACAGTGGTTGCTGTCCCAAAAACTCAGTGTATATTAATAGACTACACAAAAAAGACGTTCTATTTATATGTGAAAGCAGAATTCGATTCTAGGCTCAGATAACTTATAAACAGGTTTTTTTCCTGACCCTTCGAATGGCCAATGAGACTTGGGGCCCAATACACTTCCTCAGTGTATGGGACTACCCACAGTGCATGAGGCGGGTCTATCATCTGTGGCTGCTGTCCACCGATGCCACTAGTGCCCTCCATCCACCCTTGATGCCCAAAATGCGTCCCCTGCAGGGATGGGGGTATGGGGCCTCCTCTAAGGATAAGGGGATAAGGGTACCCTCCAAGGGTGGGGTTATGGCGCACCATTCAGGGATGGGGGTATGGAACCCCCTCCAGGGTGGGAGGATGGGGGTACCCTCCAAGGGTGGAGTTATGAGGCACCATCCACGGATGGAAGTGTGAGTGCTTTCCAGGGATGGGGGGATGGGGTGCCCTCCAGGGATGGGTGCAGGGGGCACCCTACTGAGAACCACTCAGCAGCTCAGTCCCTGATGTGCTCACACTCTTGTGGAGCATGGAGTGAATAAATATCTGCTGCTCTGGTGGCTCAGTGCCTAAGGTATTTGACTGCTAACCAGAAGGTTGGTGGTTCAAATCCACCAGTCACTCCATGGAAGGTAGGCTGGGCAGGCTATGCCGGTAAAGATTTACCACCTCAGAAACCCAACGGGGGTTGCTATGAGTCGGAATTGACTGGATGGCAGAGAGTTTGGTTTTGGTTTGCACAACCAGGCCTCCAAGCATCCATCTCACCCCGGCCCTTGTGGTTGCAGGTTCCATGCAGGTGATGAACAAGACCAGGCGCATCATGGAGCAGGGCGGGGCGCACTTCATCAATGCCTTCGTGACCACGCCCATGTGCTGCCCTTCGCGCTCCTCCATCCTCACGGGGAAGTACGTCCACAACCACAACACCTACACCAACAACGAGAACTGCTCCTCGCCCTCCTGGCAGGCACAGCACGAGAGCCGCACCTTTGCTGTGTACCTCAACAGCACGGGCTACCGGACAGGTGAGCGAGGCAAGGCTGCCGTAGGGAGTGCGGCCAGCAGATGCGCCTGGAAGTGACGGCTATGCCCTCACCTCGGGCCCGCGTTTTCCTAGGCGTGCTCCGGGTACTCCAGGCCACACAAGATGATGTTTAGTGGTGTTTAGTGGTATATAGGCAAATCTCTTTTCATTTAAAAGTTGTGCACTTATTTCTGTATGTGTTTGAAAAAAAATCCCGATTCATATGCCTGTGTTGTTCCTGTTAGCTGCAGTGGAATTGCCCCCGGCTCATGGGGACCCCATGCACCACAAAACAAAACACTGCCCAGTCTTGGGCCAGCGCCGTGATCACTTAAAACCAGACTGTTGTGATCTGTAGAGTTTGCACTAACTGATTTGCAGAAATAGATTTCCAGGCCTTTCTTCCTTGTCTATAACTGAAAAAAAAAAATTGCATCAATTCAGACTCATGGCGACCCCTTGTGCTTCAGAATAGACCTGAGTTCCGTGGGTTTTCAGTGGCTGGTTTTTCAGAAGGAGATCACCAGGCCTTTCTTCCAAGGCACCTCTGAGAGGATTCAGATGGCCAACCTTGTTCAGTAGTGTACTGTGCGCAGGATGGGACACTGTTAAGTTCTGTTGGACATCGGGTCGTTATGAGTCAGAACCGACTCCAGGGCACCTAACGACAACAACATGGTGCTTGACCTGAAGCACAAGGGGTCGCCATGAGTCTGCATTTGCTATTTTCAATTATTAAAGCCATTGAGGGCTGCTTTACTGACTCCAAACCATCAACATGGAAGAAGGTTCCAGAAGTACATTGAGGGAGAGAGTTAAAATTGATGTGGGGAGTCAAAAAAAACAAACTCACTGCCGTCGAGTCGGATCCGACTCATAGCAACCCCTCCTTGGGTTTCCGAGGCAGTGTCACTACGGAAATAGATTGCCCAACCTTCCTTCCGAGGAGTGGCTGGTGGGAATGGAGGGGAGCATGTGTGGGGACTCTGTGGCCACTCTCTACATGGTGGTGGCCAGGATGGTGCGGAAGTCGGCATGGCAGTGACTGTTGACTGTACGATTACCCAGCATGCTCCCATCTCTCCTGTGGCTGGTGCCGTGGTGTTGCATCCTGGCTAGAGAGTGAGCCAGGCTTCCTGTATGCTCATCTGGCAGGAACTACTTTGGTGGGTTCTGGGGACTCACCTGCCAGCCTGTCTGCCCGAGGCGGAGGAGCAGTTGCAGTTTAGTCACTCTTGCAAAAGGCTCCGAACTCAACTAATTTCATTTGCTTTAATTGAAAAAATAAAGAAATACTCCCCACCTTGGGTGAGGAGTCCAAGCAGTTGTGAAATCAGATACTGTGGCTCGGATGTTGCAACCACAGAGAGTTGTGTCTGTGGGACAAAGGGCTATCTGGGTGACAGTGACATGGGTGAAGGTGGACACCTCTGGTTTGCCTCGAGGCTGGGCAGCGTCCTCTCACAGTGTGGGCTGGCGAGGGCACACGGGGGCAGGGAGCAAGCAGGTGAGGCTGGGTCTGCTTGCAGACTCATCCCATCCCCGGCATCACCTGGAAAGTGGGTCCCACAGGCAGGACCAGGAGACATCCACCCTATACACAGGGCAGCTCATCACCCGTCCTGAGGTGGAGAAGAATAACTGTGCTGGGGTCTGGGATGTGGCAGAGGGCAGTCTCAGCAGAAAGCCTCATGGGTCAGAGGTTACCCTGGGCCACCACCCTAGACAGTATAACCTGATGTAGCCACAGGAAGCAGGCCAGTGGGGCCCAAAGCCAGCCAGCCACACCTGCTGCTAGATGATGCTAAAGGTCGCACCTGCCACGTGGGTCCGGATCCTGATCATCCCAGCCATGCATGCCCAGGGTTGCCAGCCTTCAAAGATTCTTGCATCTGAGATTTGAGCTGAAATCTACTGATTTTATTAAATGTTTTATAAAATGTTGGCAATATTCAACATGTGTACACTGTTAGGCAAACAACACATATCTGGGTGTGGCCAAAGACCCCATCATTGGCAGCCTTTGCCTAAAAGGTCTCTAGAAGAAACCTTTAGGTTTAGAATGATATAAGACCAATGGAATGGCAAGGCCTCTCAATATGTTCTCATCAGCTCCCCTCATTTGACAGCCAGGACAATTGCAACCCAGACAGAGGTTTTCCCATAGCCATAAAATGAGGTGTTAGTAGCAATAATCAAAACGGAAACCAAGGCCATCAGAAATCAAGGATATGTGTGTGTGTGCACGTGTGTGTGTCCACGTGTGTGGAACTGAACCGAAAGGAAACACGTATCCCTTGACATTGTTGGGGGGAGGGGTGCTGAATGGTAGGAACCAAAGCCTAGAGTTTCAAAATCATAGAGCTGATGCACAAAAAGGAACTATCTGAAATATAAATATTCTTCAAAACTGACTTCCCAAACTTTATCCTGGAACTTACCCATTACCCGAGTCACCAAAAAGCTCACTCGCCAAAGAATTGCTTTCATGCAACCATGCTCAATTTTTATACTCTCAATGAAGATTGTCAAATGCAGACAGCTATACACAAAACATTTACATTTTTTGTAAAACTGCCATGAAGAAAAGGAGCCCTGGTGATGCAGCGGTTAAAGTGCTCAGCTGCCAAATGAAAGGTCAGTGGTTCAAACCCATGAGCTGCTCTAAGGGAGAAAGATGTGGCAATCTGTGCCATAAAGATTACAGCCTTGGAAACCCTATGGGGCAGTTCTGCTCTGTCCTATAGCATCCCTATGAGTGGAATCAACTTGATGACAGTGGGGCTTTTGTTTTTTGTTTTTTGATCATCAAGAATTTTATTCATTACATTTAGAATGCCTCTTTGTAAAGTAACCCCCTAGGAATCTTTTTTTCCCCATGGTAAAAAAAATTTAGCTGAGCACACGGCCAGACTGGAAATCTTACTTTCAGAACTCAAGACCTTGAACACATCTGTTCACTCTGATAAATTGGTGTGCTCCTGGTTATTACATAGCAAGAGCTGTGTACTCCATATATGTTCAATCTTTGCTCTGGCAGCTAGGAAGCTCAGATTTGAGTTTTCTCTTAAGTTGCTATTTAAAGTGAAAGCATTTTTAAAATGGAATGACATGATATTAGTTATGCTTATTAGTGTCATTAAGAAAAGGTAATGATTTTAAAAAAAAACTATGGTGAATTCAAAATCCCTTTTAGGTTAATTCCATTTATATGACTCCCTTTTTAAGCTTCCTAGTCCTCTCAGGACCAATGGTCAACAGTTCCTCCTGGATCTTGAGCCATGTCAAACCCTGAATTCCCATGGATGTCCAAGGCAGTTAGTTGATTGAATTAGATTTAAGTCTGGCTGTGTGTCTGGCTTGAGATACCCAGAATTGCTGTTTATTGTTCTCTCACTTACAAGTCCATGTTGCTTTTGTGGGCTTTGCTCCTTGAGTTTGAACCCTGGTCAAGCAGTGGTTAAGTGCTTGGCTGCAAACCAGAAAGTCGAAAGAACCCAACAGCTGCTCCATGGGAAAATAATGTGGCAGTCTGCTTCTGTAAAGATTACTGCCTTGAAAACCCTGTGGGGTAGTTCTACCCCGTCCTGTAAACATCCCTCCGAGTGGGAATCCACTTGATAACATGGACTCCGTAAATTGTTCAGAGACTCAACTCTGCTGCTCTCAACTTTTCATTGGTGAGATCGAGTCACCTGGCCACTTATGACTGCAAAGGAGCCTGGGAAATGTAGTCTTTAGTCTGAATCGCCATTTGCCCAGCTAAAATTTTTTTTACGGTGGGGGAAAAAAGGAAGTCCTGAGGCACAATAATGATTCTCAGCTTGGTTGTGTTTTGGTGCCCTTTTGAATACAGGAGGTCAGCCTAAACTGAGAAGGACTAAAAGCAGCATCAATTAATTAAAGTGACCCCTCTTCAGCTATGGACCAACGTTTCATAGTAATAGTACTTCTAATGTATTTAATTAGCTATTTTATCTTGAAAAATGGAACTACAAAATTATGAAAGTAGCCTTATTTTATGTTACCAAAAGCCTAAACTTATTGCTGTCTAGTTGATTCTGATTCCAATGATCCATAGGTCAGGGTAGAACTGCCCCATTGGGTTTCCTAGGCTGTAATCTTTACAGAAGCAGACTGCTGCGTCATTCTTCCACAGAGCAGCTGTTGGGATCTAATTCCTGACCTTTTGGTTAGCAGCCGAGCCTTAACCACTGCACCACCAGGTCTTCATTTTATGTTATATCTAACAATATTTAACAAAGTTTAGATTACAGTTGTGACTGATGAGTAGGTTCTTAAATCAAGTGAATAGATAAAGGGTCAGATGAAGGGGGGTGTAATCTGTCCAACAGATTTGAATGATATCAATAGGATATGCATTACAGTTAGTCCCTGACTTACAACAGGGCTCTGTTCTGACCGTTCCTTCATGACGTAAATAGAATACTTCTTTTTTTTTTAAGTTTTCATCATTATTGCCATAGCCCGCTATATGGCAGTGTTTTGAACAGTAAGTTATAAAATCAAACATCTGTGAATAAACATGTGAGCATGAAAACATCAGCAAATTACGTGCTACAACATTGTACGTGTGTGTTACTAACAGTAAGGACGAGAATGATCATAAGTGCCTTTCATCGTAACTGGAGTATATCGTAAGTCAGCAACTCCCTGAACTTTGCCTTCAGTTTTCACAGCAAAATTATAGGCAGGTCCTTTTTGCAAAAGTATTTGAGAATTTGCTCACTTTTCCCAAGGGCCTCTCTTAATCTTTTGACATCGTAATCTTGTCCTTTGAAATGCTTATTACCTGGTCATCCGTTTCAGTGGTCCGTTCTTCAGTGATCTCATTATTGTCATTGGTTTTGCATGTGATTCGATCCATCCTCTAGTATCACTTTATTTCACAAAACCCTGTATCTTTTCCAGGATTTGCGATTTCATTTTGCATTCATCTTCGCTTTCTGTTGCCCCATGTTTGCTGTAGAGACTGACAAA